TTCGTTCTTCCTCGAAGTTTCAGTCGTTACCAGAGACGATTTCAATGTTTTCCTCGGTGTACTTCGTATTTCAATATCATCACTTTCATTCATTTCTCCTTTAATACGGTAAACGATATTTCCCGTGATTTATTTCTATCGTAAAAAAATTCATAAGCTGGAAAGTGATTTACTCGCCTTGTACTTTAATCCTTTCGTTGTCGAGTTAGAATTTGAGAATAACGAGGGAATATTTATTCCATATGATAACACTATTAAATACTGTTAATGAATATTCGACTATTTAACCCTTCAAGTCCCAGCTTCTTGAGATTGTAATTAAGAACATCTGACATGATGGATTGTACATGAAATCATATGGAACGTGGTTCCTGGGATACTCGACGTGACAAATTGGGAACGATATGTCTTCGAATCGATAAGTACCAGTGACAAATTCAAGGGTAGCCTTGTCAGATCGTCGAGACATCGTAGATGAAAATGTCGAGGGAGATGTCTTCGGAAAACCTAAATACGTGTTACATTAACACAATCTTTTACGTGTAATCTTATCACTTTCCTTTCCACCACTTCTTTCAAATTTCTCCACTTAAACCTTTCGTTAAAAATGTTCCACTCTTTTTTTCACTTAATTTAGTAACCAGAACTATCTTAATGATTTACTCTCTGAAAGGGTTAATCCGCAGGGTGAACGAATAAAAAATAACCTTGTATTAACCAATTTGAAATATTCCTTTCACTTAATACCATTTCTCATCGATCCTTAATCCGATTGGACGCGGCGTTATTCCAACGGAACAATCAATCCAAAGGTAATAGTCGTGACCGGCGATCGACGAACTCGCTCTCCTCTTTGACGATTCGATCTTAACGACCCCGGTCTCATCTCGCGGCTGAATTTTCAATAAGGTTCCGCGCGGTGTTAATAAATGACCCGGGGATACGTGGCAACGAGCATAGCGAATGAACCCGGTGATTTGGTGGATTCCGACGGGAAACGCGACGCGAATCGCCGATTGGAAATTGTGCAATTTCGATTCGACGCGATCGGTGAACGTCCGCGGGCAGGCTCGTCGCGCCTTCGGTTTCCTGTAATCTCGCTTCGAGGCCGTTCATTGGGAAACAGCGTCGATGGTGGAAAATCGCTTTTGAAAATTCCACCTTGGTTAGAAAAGGACGCCCCCCCCCTCTCCTCTTCGCGTGCTCTTTTCTGGGAAAATTGTTACTCTCGCGCGGTTACGACAGGTACTTTGTTATTCTTCTTTGAGTTGGATGAAATATGCAGCGTGCGGTCGAGAATGTTCTCCGGTGGAGAGTAGTCTACTAGATTCGTTGCTTTTCGCACGAATCAAAATTGTTAATAATGGGAACGATGATAGATAGCATAGACAACAGCAAAATTTGGGGGGAAATCGGTCCGGCGAGATGAATTTCACAAAGTGGCGTGTGCCGAAAAGAAAAAAATGGAAATCCTCGAAGATAACAGTACGCAACTAAAAGTAGTCTACTGGAATTATAGTTTCACTGCCTCTTTGTTCGAACAAGAGTGACTAGCAATAAGAATACTAACAAGTAGCATAAATAAGAAAAAATTACGAAGAAAATGAACGACTTCGTGGTTATCGCTTCTCTTCGCCGCAAGTATATCGATTCCGTCTCGATTAATTTCACAAAGTGGCAAGCAGAAAAAAATGGAATGCCTGAAAGAAGCTAATAGGATGCAATTCGTCTTACTCTCCTCCTCTTTTGAACCGATAAAAACCGACATATAAACGATCTTTGATTTCTTCTTCTAATTCATCGACGACCTGAAACGATCGGCTACTTCATTAATGCATTCTTATCATAGCGCCAAACCAGTTGCTAATAGCCTGTCTGACATAACGTATGTCGAACCAGTCGGGTTTCAAACAATCACGTACCTTCTATTACGCTCGTTAATTATACCAATTGTTCTCCGCCCGACAGTGGCAACAGCGAGATAATTTTAAAAGCCAACATGGCGTCGAACCCCCTTTCGATATATTCGATATAACTCGTGCAAAACCGTTATTGTCCGGTGTGTCGAGGGATTAACGACGTCCATCTGCGATAGATATTCCCCCGAAAGCGAGAAAAACTCGCTCTCCTTGTCCCGACGCGGCCAATTACTCTAGATTCTTTACTTTCGCGAGAAGGCTCGTGCGTGCAAGTACGAGCTCGAACGCTCGCGCGCGCACTCGTGGCATAATTTCCAGCGAATCGAGCAACCGGTCGATTAACGAAGCATTCGAATTCATATCCGCGACACCTGCACGATCCTCGATCGTTTTTTTTTTTTCCCCACTGTTCGTTTCTCCCTGTCGTGAAACCCGTCGTTGAGAAACTGTGCAGCGCGACAGCTGCGTCTTTCGAAATCCGCAACCGGTGATTTATGCCGAAGGTAAACGAAATCGATACGCGGGAATCGTGTGCGAAATAGAAACGACGAAAAGCAGCGGTGAAGATCGACGAGGAGGTCCGAAAGGTGGTAGTTCAGAGTGCAAGAAAAAAAGTATGTAGAACTTGGTGTTCTCCGAGGATTAAGGACCTTTTGCAATGGAAGCGACCTGGTCGGTGACAAAAGAGTAGTCACAATGCACGAGCACACGCCACTGCGTGAGGATGAAACGAGGAGGACGATTATGGGTGCGTCGAAACGTCGATGTGTCACGAATTCATCTCCCCTTTGAATCATTAATTCCTCTCCCTGGCTTATTTAAACGAGTCCCTGGTAACATGTGTAAATAATGAAAAATAGCTGAGATTAATGCAAAGTTCGTAATCCAGTAATCCACGTTCGTAAGTATTGGGACACTTGCTGAACTCTACCAAAATGTACCAAACTCTACCGAGTTCTTCTGAATTTGACTAAAGTCTACCTAGTGAATGTGAAGCAATCCTCGTTCTCGTCACAAGTTTAATATGAAATTAATTTCCACACAAAAGTTATTACTAAATAATGAAAATCTTGAACGAAAATTATTCATTTTAGAGTCTCCAAGTAGTTTTCCGAAACAACTGACGCCAAGTTTGGCGAGAAATCGTAATTGAAATCGCACAATACATTCCACGCGAGCATAATAGGTGTCCCAATCCTCTTGAACGTCAGTGCATGTGAAATCACATGCATGTAATTTCCACTCACCCTTAACCAGATCCGAGCTACAACTCCTTCTCAATAAGAGATAACCGTATGCCATCGTATGCAAAAAGCGTCATAGATCAAACGAATATCCCATTGTCTGTTAATAAAACTATTGTACGCCGTCAGAACTGAGTCATCCATCGTTGACCCGGTTCACAAGCCACCGCAGAGCGTAATGCAACCGCTTGAACGATCAGCTCCGACTACTCAGCTGCAAGACGAATTCCTCTTCGAGTTCCAGGTCGCCTCAGTCATTTCACCGATCCACGGGGCGACATCGCGAGGAAGCTCCGCCGCCTCTTTGGTATCCCTGTTTCCGCTTCTTCTCATCCTCCTTCGCCAACCCTGTTCCCTACTCTCTGTCTCTACTCGCTCTTTCCAGAGCGTGAAACGATTCAAAAGTGATATTCAACGTCTAATTGCGGTTACTAGGCTCGAAAGTGCCGCAAGGTCGGAGTCAATACCGATCTGGCCCGATCCCACGGCCTTGAATCCACGCGGGTGCATGTAACGAGAGTAACAAGGCCCGAACAACACGCGAAACTCGCTTCCGCGAGCGACCAACGTGTGTGTAAGTACACGAAAGAGAAAGAGGGGTGGGGGAAACGATGCGGGTAATTGAAATCGTTATTCACGTTGATTTAGAAACGTGGGCACCGTGCCGGCGCGGCGCCGCGTGGATATACACGATGCGGTCGCATGGAGGTTTTGAGCTTTCTTGTAAGGAGAGACAGTGGGCTATATTCGCGGGGGATTACTGGGAATCGGGAACGGTGATGCAAGATGCTTAGTGAAATCAGGGGATCACGGGTATTCTAGGTTGGGATTACACGGAAAGCTTCTGTGGATTTTTTGATGTTTCAATTTTTTAACCTAGAAAACCTCAATGAGATAATCTTTCGACATTTTCCTGCAAAGAGAATCTTTCAATTTTGAAAAATTATGACAAATAAAGGTGTGTGATCTTGAAATGATCTTCGAGATCACTTTGAGGGGACGTTTCTTATCGCAATTTCTTTACAAAATTTTTTCCCACTTTCCACAGCAGTGAAAGTAATTCAGATACTCTTTATAAATGAATCACCCTGTAGATTACCAACTGGAATATACAGAGCGCAACTGAATAAAAAATTAATTTTAGGGCATAAGTAAATATAATTCGATTTTCGATTAACTGTATAGAAAAAGTAGAAAAAGGTTGGTCGTTTGAACTGCCGCGCATCCGTACTTAGCAGCACGTGACCAAGCCTGCACGCGAGAGAGTGGGGGTAGCTGTTCTCCTTTCGCTATGCAGACGAATCGTTTCTGTCCATTGTACAATCCATCCCTGCGCTCTCGCGGCGAAAGAAAGGACACGATATACGAGATTCCCAGTTGGGCTTGTTGAACTGGATAGGTCATAGGTTATTACGTTTGTTAAATACTAGCCGCGGCGTCGCGATTGTCATATCGGTGCCAATGGACGATGACGCATCGTTCTGAACAATGAACACCGAGTCGTGCTGGGAACGAGATTCAGATATCGAGATCCTCGAGAAGATTCGCATGACTTTCAGTTTTATGAAATTCGAACTTATTCTTTTTTTTTTTTGCACGTCCATAAAATGAAACGGTGCGAAATATTAAAAAATTAAAAAAAAAAAACAAAAATAGGACATTCGTATCCTTTGGTATGTATTGAGATAATTATAGAATTGCCTTGAGAATGGGTCCTTTGACAACGTTGATCCAATTGACAACGAGAAAGTGTTTTCCTTGAGCTTTTCTTATTCGTATTACCAGATAGAGTTACACATCCATTGTAGAAAATTAACCATAATAATCTCGCATGCAACATCAACTCCACTGATTTGCGCTGACCAGTGCGCTTTGTTCGTCGATATTCTTGCTGTTAGAAGTGCATTATGTCGTTTATACGGATTTCAGTACCATGTAGTACGAGACAGACGTCTTTACAATCTGAGAAGAGAAAGCAGAACGTCGTTTAATTGAATATTCTCGAGATATTAGAAGAATAATTGTCGATGAACTTGTTACCTCTGAGAAACTTTGCAAGTTCATTGTAATTAGTCCACCGGCTGTTATTTGAGGAGCAGATAGACAATTTCTTAACGCTAATACAAACAACGATTGCGTTCTCTTGTCGCTGTTATACCACAAAGCGCTGTATCTAGAAAAATGGACAATTTTGATTTTCACAAATTTTCAATTTTTTTCAAATTTACTTCTTACATCGATTCGAAGATTTCCTCGTTCGCGTCGATCACGAATTGTCCTTGAAGAGTTAGGTAAAGTATGTGTACCAATTGAATCACGATAAATGTGCAATCCTTGGCAAACTCCGCATTAATCTCCGAGTTCGACACCTGTTTCCAAGAAATTGTTCTGAGGATGATCAGCGGTATCGCAACGCGATATAATTGCCGCACTGAAGAGCTCACCTTCACCAGTATCACGCTGAAGCAAATCATTATAAGAACGACGCAAATAAAAAAATAGACCGCATGGATTTTTACGATCTTGTCAATGTATCTGTTTTGAAATCATTGAAATAGGACGAACTCATCATCGGTGTGACATATTCGGGAGTATATTAAAGACGGTACGTGCAGGTGATAGCATGAAACATTCCCAGAAAATTCATATTCATTCCTGGATTATACAATTGCTTGACAATCTTTTAATGGACAAACAAAATTACACTCGCGACAAATTTCTTTTACCGTGCTGAAATCAAAAGATATGAAAAATTACTTTGTCGGTTTTGCGATTCGTTCGTCGACGAAGAGAAAATTATACTCGCGCGGCCTGCTTACTAGCGAAATTAGACGCATTCTGCAAAATTAATGCTACACATTTCCATACGATAAAAGTGTGATTAAACGTGACTAAATTTCACTCGACGAAAAATCGAAAATTTCAGTAAATCATAACACAGAGGTAACAAGACAAAAACATCTCACGAGCGCAATTGTAACATGCTAGACAAAAAGCAAAGAACATTTAAAACAATTTGACGTATCTTTTTTAATACCGACTTTATAGCATGCTGGTGTCCTTGAATCGAATGACACACTCTTCTATAAATTTCATCCTGCGTGACACTGTTCCTTTTCCGACTGGACAATTCCACGATCGCACATTTGTAACGATATCTACGCATTGAAACCTTGCAATTTCCTCATCTGTTGTACCCAAAATTAACCCTTCGAGTACCAATGTGAACCTCAGAAATTTGTTGCCACATTTCCATCAATCCTTAGAATAATCTTAATAAAATTTTCACGTTAAACACATTAGACTTCGTTTGTTGTCGATGAAATTCAGAAGAAGTTAGAAGTGTTTCGCAGAAAAATTAGCGTATCGATTTTGTTGGCACTGAAAGGGTTAAGCTACGAATTTTTCGATCGAATTTTTTACCCGGACACGGCCAACAATCCGCAGCCGTGTTGCACGACGTATATGTAACTGGTGTCACAAGCGACGTACACGTAAAACACCACAAGGATCACGGACGCCATGTGCGTAATTATGTACACGTCGTACTTATGCTCGTCGGTGAAATAATAGGCCGGGTAAATGTACGCTACGTCTCGTGACTCGTTCTTCGGTAGTAAAATGTCCAAAATATGCGGTGTCACCGGCGTGGTCACGAACAGGATGACACAAACGATCGCGTTCACTATCGAATATTTGACAATGTACGTAAAATAAACAGTTTGGTCGTTTAAATAAGATCTGCCTTACCAAGGTATGTCGAAATTAAAAAAGCACCCCTCTCGGCGTATTTAGTCATAATGTCGATCTCCCCTTGTGGTCTCTCGATCGACCAGTCGTTCCTGGCACCGCTAATAAGCGACTCGTACTGCAATTTGATCGATCTCGTATACCTAACCCATGAAGCCACGAACGCCATGAAACGTGAAACGGTAATCAAAATGGAAAATTCATTCACCTCCTCTTTATAGACGATGTAGTTCCCCTGCTTCAACAGTGTCGCGCTTACTGCGCCAAAAAATGATAGCTGATCTATAAGAACGTCCAAACTGAAGAAACACACCACTTGTGCTACCTGCAAGATCAATCGTCGATCTGTCTTTCCAAGAAATCGTATAAAAATCGCTTAAATGTGTAAGGTAGACAGCACAGAAAAATTCTTATATTTACTAGTGTTATACTAAAGAACGTACACTGCCGCTCGTAAATTCAATTCGATGAAATTCCAATTCCATTCGTCAAATTCGATATAAAGTTTCTCACCGAATTTAACAGAGTTTTCGCCTAATTCATGTTTTCTCTGTAAATCACTCTCAATTTTACCGCATTTCAATGGATGCGATTAAACTTTCGAGCGGTGGTGTACACGAGATAAGTCGAGATAAAAGCCGAGTGGTATGGAAATTATCTATTTCCCTACGACTCCACTTTCTTCACAAGTGCAACGATTCGCCCGGAATATGCAAATGCACTTTAACGCGTTCGCTACCAACGTCACATAGAGTGACGCCAAATTCCCATAATAAAACGATATTACCTTCGTGCGATACGTCGTAAAAAATGCACGGTTTCAGGATTTGATAAATATTAAGCGTGTCTAATCGTATAATGTAAAACTGAAAGAAATACAGATATTGAGAATGCATGTGAGAATAATTCAAAGAATTATTTCATGGGTACTTCAACAGAACCGTGGTAGGGAACGTGTTAAAAGAATAAATAACAGTATCAACTCCTCGAAATAATAAAAAGGTATAGTGTCTCACCTGCGTGAAGAGAACCGTGAAAACGATGCTGTACATTATTATTCGCGATACGTATTTCGACAGTTTGCTCTGCCATGGCCAGAAACCGGAGAAGTGGGCGCATATCTTGGTCAACTTGATGTATCGATCCTCTAGAGTGATCGCGTCCATGACGAGATTGTGTGGCGTACCGGAGGACTTAGGCGGCTATATACGCGACTGCCACACGAAGGGTAGTAGGTAAATTCTTTCGTGGCTGAAGTAATGACAATAACCTGTTCCTCCTATCCGAGTACAATATTTATTCTTACAATTTGCCAGTCGCCTATTACCGGACACGAGCGCCCGGTATTATTATAATCTTCTCCGCGAAACAACCGGTTTAATCATTCATTCGCCCACGTTTTTTGTCGGATGCCGTTTAAAACGAAGGCAATTGTACTCTCGGTAAAATTGTATACGCCTGTTAGGAGTATCGGACTTTTATGAGAGGAAAATAAATGGAACCATATGCCGTGACATTAAAGATTAATACCAAATGGCAACATGTCTCGTGCTTTCGTTATATCGCTTTTTTTTTACATTTTCCTCTGCTCTTGTGTCAGGGTTAAATTGCGTCAGAGTATTGGTTATATTGTCTAATCGCGGTGCTTTTAAGTTCGAAGGTTGAACACGAGATGTTTTAGCAAGCAGTGTCTGTTTAGAGAAACAGCGAACGAAAGAGTGAGGACGAAGAAACGAGTATCGGGGGAGATCATTTCTTATGGATTTTATCGTTTGGTTCTATCTTCTTCATCAAGCGGTGAATAGCTGAAAGATGCCAGCTTATCGCTATCGTCTGTCGTGACTCGTTTCTATCATCTTTCGCCACGATTTCTCTCCGACAGAGTAGAATCTTGGCATATCTAATTATTTAAAAAAAGTTTTAAACAACGATACATATAAACTCGAATTATTCAATTTTAATTTTCCACGTTATAATTTCAAAAAATTTCTATTACACGTCATATCTCTACATTTGGAAACGAACAAATGTATCGTTAGTTAGTCGACAGATTTAATCACCCGTTGGACTTTTTCTTTTTTGCAAAGCAAATGTTTCTTCTATAAAACGAGCTTTACATCTATCGCACGATAATATCGTTCGATTTGTTGCTTTTCACGTTTTACCATGGTACGTACCATCCTCTATTATGTTTATTCTACCTTTTACGAAAAAGGTGGCAACATGTACAATAACAACAATAATAATAATAATAATTATTGTGCATCTTGTGGCAGGTAATTCTCGTTTCACTGTTCACGTTGTCTTCAACACCGTATAATAGGAAACGGACATTTTTACCACCTGCAAACATCGTTGTTGTTTGAGCGAAACATATCAGAACGGTCAGAATTAGGTGATTGTCAGTGAATTTTGGTGATGTTTACCTCTGCGAAGCTTTGCATGTTCAGTTGCACTAAACCGCCAGCCGTTAAACAGGTAGGTGTTAGGTTTCTTCGTAACGCTACCACGTATAATGCTTGTGTTTTCGAAGAACTTGTGTACCATAATGATTCGTATCTGGAAGTTTCATTATCATCGCGTGTGATACACGGAGTGCCGTTCGAATCAACAGCAAAATTGTGGTAGGTTCACCCTTTGCAATCGAGTGGCGACTGAGAAGCGACGTTAAACAATCGTCACTTGGTGGATAATGAACGAAGAGAGAGAACAGATCTATGGGCCTCCACAAATTTGTTCGTTATGGTGAGATGGAGAATACGTGGAATATTTCAATAAAATAGTATACTTTATTTCTACGTTAGTTTGAACAAATTTTGAAGAAGATCCGATATGCAACCTTTTGTTCTGCAAAATCACCTCCGAGTGCAAAGAGTTAAAGTACATTTGATATAAATCTTTTTTGTTGGCAGGAAGAAATAATTTATCCTTTTGTTGCGATTATTTATTCCCTCTACTCACATCGCCTCGTGAATTCTCTCGCACGAATCCAGCACGAACTGTCCCTGAAGCATGATAACGAACAGGTGCATCAGTTGACACAACGTAAAACTGCAATATCTGTAGAAGTCTATGTCGAAATCCGACGTACTCAGCTGATTTGAAAACAGTGAAAAATTTCCACAGATTAAACAACGCGAAATGTAGTCGTAGGAAAGAGGAAAAAGGAAGCTCACCTTGATCAGAGTAATACTGAAGCATAGAATCACCAAGCCTAAGCAGGTGAAAAGGTACGTGTCATGGCCGCGTTCAATTTCCTTTACAAAGCTGAATTGAAGAGAACGGATCAAAGAGAAACTGCGATAAAACGTGGTAGAGGAAAGAAGAATCACAAACTAACGAAAAAAACAAACAAACAAACAAAGATCGTGAATACTGACTTTATAGCACGTTGATGTCCCTGAATGGAGAAACACGCGTTCTTGTACGCCTCTTTCGTCCAGTGGTCGAAATACTTCCCCTTCACGCTATTGTCCTCGCGAATTGAATTCTTGAAGCGGTATCTGCGAACGTTCCACGCAATCTCAATAATAGTTTCCCGACGAAAATGAGAGAAAAAATGTATCTCTCAAGTTTTCTCACCCGGCCACGGCGAACAGTCCGCAAGTGTGTTGCACCAGTACCATGTAACTGGTGTCGCAGGCACAGTACACCACCACTACAATCAAAATTGTGCACGTTCCGTGAAGTATGATGTAATAATAGTATTCTACTTCGTCGACGAAGTAATATCCGGGTATGACGAATTGCAAACTTGGCGTTATATTCTGTGTCTTGTACGAGTTCACCAATCGGGTCGACCATGGCACTTGTATGAACAAGAACGAGCAAATGTACGCGTTCACTGGAAAGATCCGATCGAGAGTTGCTAATTGTTTCTAATTAAAACTTCGGAGAGCTTACCAACGTAGAACCTCGAGAGCAGATTTCCCCTTTGCCCGTACTTCTTCATGATGCCGATCTCCTTGTACGATCGTTCGTGATTCCAGTCCTCGCACATACTATCCAGAAGGTATTCGAACTGCAACAGTCGTGTCACACAGTTGCAGAAAAATGACAAGGTAGAAAATAAAGATCGCGAGCATCCTCTCACCTTATCTGTATTTACAATGTAGTTCACCTGCTTGCATAGCAGCAACACTAGCGGGCAGAAGAATGGCGTCTGTTCTACTATCACGTCCACGGTAAGGGTTTCCAACATCCTTGCTAGCTGTATTAACGAAGCATCCCGACATTTACACTCTATCTTGTCACGTGACATTGTCTTCTTAGTATGTCGAAACAAGTTACAGAAATTAGATGTTACGAGGGTTTGTTTGTAATCTGGAGCAGTAGTTGTGTGAACGAAGAGGGCAAACAACCCTGTACGGAAAATTAGAAGGTAGCGAGCCAAAAGCGAGAACTTGGAATGTTGAAAGATGAAGAGGGAGGAAGATCGAGAGACTTTGCAACTATCGTTACAGTACAGTTAGTTAACGCTTTGTATTCCCGAAATTACCGAGTAAAAACCTACTTGTTCATCCAGAACTCCTACGATCTACTATTTATCGGTGAAATTCTTAGAGACAATTGTCTCAAGAAAATTCCTACCCCTGATACAATTACACTTTTCACACGTTCTATTGTATTGTAAATAATGGAATATCGTATAAATCCAGTAAAGCATGACAGAGTGAACATTTATGTTAACGTTACGTGTGTACCTGAGCGAGGAGCGAACTGATGATAACCATGATCCCACGGTCCAGATTTCGCAGTTGAACATTCGCGAAAAAAGGGGAGAGAATTCTCCCGCGGTTAATTCTCAAGCGGTTCAATTAAGGTACGTGCGGCTTGTCGGCACTTTATTAGATGCACGCAGCCACCTATGACGTCTATCGTGCACAACAAGCGGCAGAATTTACCAGCATGATTTATTGGAAACGTCGGTCACGTGCAAGTAACGAATATCCTTTTCTTCCCGTAGGAGGATACAACGTGTACGATAATTAGAAAAAAGAATAGAAATATATGGGGAAGTTCATTTTCGAATGATCGAAGAGAACGCGGTTGGTAATTCAACTGTATCTATTTTTAAGCGAATTTACACGTATATCATACATATATGTTTGTACTATTTCGTTCATTGCGTGCTCTCTACTTTTACTTGGTCTGCATCACCGTGTAGTAGGAAACAGATGCTTTGATGATCTGTAAGGGAACGTTTAAATTTGTTCAAATATTCTCCAACAATAAGTACCTTGCGCTACCTGTTTAATGTTAATCGTTAAATCACCTCTGCGAACGATCGTAGATTCAACGTCGTCATCCCACCAGCTGTTAACAGAGGTGGGTTTAGGCAGCTTCTCAATGCCAATACATACAACGCTTGTGTTCTAGGAGTGAAATTATACCACTGCGATTCGTATCTGCAAAGGACCAGGAAGAATTGAGGGAAAATTCGAACCTGGAGAGATTCTTCGTGAGAAAGTGTATCAGGTAACGTAACAGGAAATTTTAGTATGAAGTGTATGATACTTACATCTTGTCGTACAGTTCGTCGAATGCGTTTATCACAAATTGTCCCTGGACGTTCAAAAAGAAAACGTGAAACGCTTGGCCGACGAAAAACGTTCCGTGCACAACCTTCTGCGGTAAATTGTGGCTACTGGCCATCTAAATTCGAACGATTCGTCACTCACCGTAACAAAAAAGAAAGAGAGAAATTAAGAAGACTGTGACTAAAAAATATTCTACCGTTAACAAAGACACGCTGATAGCTATCATCAGCATTCCCATCGAGATGAACAGGTAAATACGATGGCTGTCCTCGATATGTTTCAGATATCTACGTGAAAATGATTGAAATCAGTCGTCTGAAAAATTTCGTTTAAATTCGTCGTTTAGCGAAGTGACGTTGTAATTGTAAATTCTAACTGTACAACACGCTGATGACCTCGAACCGAATGGCACACGTCTCTGTACGTTCTTTTGTCGAAAAATCTCGCGCCGTTCTCGTCGCCGTTAATGGACAAAGTTTTGTACGCCTGGCTGAACCGATATCTGCTAACATTTTCAACGATAATACAAATTTCAATTTCTTAAACGAGTTGTTTTCACCTGGTGACAGCCAATAAGCCGCATGCGTGCTGCACAGCGTACACGTAGTTCATGTCGCAAGCACAGAATATGACACAGACCATGATCACCACGAACATTATGTGTATTATCATTATCATGTAGTATTGCTCAGGATCCATCCAGTAATAGGCTGGATAAACGAACACACGTTTTCTCGTTTTGTTCAGTGGCGCGTAAATGTCCAAGATGATCGGTGCGAAAGGCACGCATAAGAATATGGCCGCGGGAAGGAACAAATGCGCTGTAGACGTCAAAGGAGAAATAAGGTAATTTCTCTGGGTAATTTCATTCTCCATCTCACCTGCGTAACACAACGCGATCAGTTGTCCTTTTCGAGCATAGGTCACCATGATCTTGCATTCCGTCTCAGATGTGATCGACGTCCAGTCGTCGAATATCTGTTCCACCATCGACTTTAACTGTAATTTCAACGTGTCGAGAGGAGAATTGAAAAAAGGGTTAGAGGCGAATGTGCATGGTAAAAGTGTCGCGACATGTCAGTTGATAAGCCACTGAAAGGAAGACTCTTTCTGCAAAAGTTTCAGTTCCACTGTTAGGGTAGCTGAAGATAGAAACGTGATTTACATTTTAAGCTCCATTTTTTTGCTGTTCCACTCGACAAATAATTATGCAAAAATTCAGAGATACTATAGACAGTGGGATACGTGTCTGGGAATTTTTCACATTTTATAGCAGTAACGAAATTTGATAAATTGACAAGTTTGGAAATATCGATTTTCTATTGAAATTATCAAGTGACTTCCTACTATCGATAGGAAGCCATTTTAACACGTTCACCGTGTAATTTTTCTGGTGCGCAGAAATTATCTGAGTCACGGGCATTTTTTTTAATTCGGCCGGTCAAATAACTAATCGAAATTCGGTAATCAATCGCAGTCACGTTTCCACCAATCAAGTTTCTTCCTCTGAGATCCACAGCGAACGTCCCGTATGTTTCATTCAAATTTCTCGTTCAAATCGTCCCGTGTGCTTTTCTCAAAAGTACCATCGAACGTTGTTCCCTTACCTTCGTTTCGTTTATAATGTAATTACCCAGTTTCACGAACGTCCCAACCGCTGCCACGTTGAAAGGTATGCCATCCACGAGATTGTCCATGCTGAAGAATAGCACGGTGTTTGCTATCTGCAATCAAACACGATATGCGTCGTGTTTAAACGTTCCTTTCGATTGAACCTACCGTACCTGTGTAACAATGGAAGATGCCATTAGAAGCAAAGAAAGTATTTGCGTGATCAGTTTCCTTCGAGAGTTCTGACGAGGCCAGACACCGCATATCAGTCCAAGCACTTTGTTCAACTTCATAAATCGTTCTTCGACCGTTTCTGCGTACATAATCGTAACAGCGAAATCAGTCAAGCTGGTTCTACGTTATATTTCTCTTGTGTGTTTGCCATAAGTTAAAGAGAATCGGTAGGATGAAGATTGTCAGGAAAATAATCGCCTATCGTATATTCCGTGTGCTTACAGACTAATATCGCTGAGGGTTTAGTTCAATAATTTCTGAAACGACCAGAGCACGATCGTTACACGAGCAACCGATTCTCGATCATTTATTAAACCGCCTTTTTGAAACGGAGAAACGACGCTTTCGTCAAGATCATCCGAAAATTGGACTATTTGAAGCTCGTTAGAAAGTTCAGTACTCTACTCTCGCAAAGTGAAAAGCACTTATATCTGATTCAGAAGCGGATTAGCTTGCATTAAATATTAACAGTTAAATGGCTCCTTCTTCGATGTTAGTCCTGGGCAGTCTACCTGTTACGTAGTGCGCAGGAAATGTTACGGAATATACATACGTACTTCATTTTTCGGCAGAATTTCTTGCGTTTGGTATTTCGTTACGTTTGCACCGCAGGTGAACGGCATGGAAATGCATTTGAAATTCTCCGTGATTTGTAGATCATTATTGGTGGTTAAATGCAGTTACACTGTTCTGTTGTTTGCAGAGACAGAGTAGCGATGGAGAAAAGTGGGAAACGAGCATTGATTCAGTACCTTGAACGGCCTTTTATCGCAATATGTTGAATCACTTGGTCGACAGAACTGTTCCTCGTGTTCAGGAAAAGTACCATGTGGGAAACAGAATAATCCTTCTACGTTACGTTTCGACAATATGGGTGAGTTTTTACGTTCGAAATTTTATTGAACAAGTATTTGAAAAAAATTGTCAAACAGTTCAAGTGTTTCATTGTATAAGTGGACAAGTAAGAGTAAGTAGAAAATATTAATTTATTATATGTTTAGGGGTTTGTTACGTTTTATTACATGCATACGAATAACACCACAATATATAAACACGCACGACAAATATAACAACACATACGTAATAACGAGTACAGTAGATAAGTTTTGTAAAAAATCAATGGCACATTTAACGGACAGGGTGATTCATAAATATGTATGTAAGAACGAGGGAAAATTTGTTTGTATTTGCCTGTAATGCAAACAACAGTATCCTTTTTATATGAATCATCCCGTACAGTTTTAACCTAACTCAACGATTATACGATAGACTCATTGAATCGATTTTGTTTGTATTATTATCTCGTCAATTCACATCGAATACATTTATACAGCGGAGGTGAATATTCTTCAGCCACGTGTAGATTGTGCCAGTTATCACGGTAATATCGACAAAATTATGTCAGTATTGAAGTCCTACCGTTCATTTCGATTGCATCACCGTATAGTAAGACACGGATTATTTTATAATCTGGAAGGAGAATCTTGTATACACGGTGTAAAATGTTTTAGTGAGTCCGAGTAATCTTGTATTCTCCGGCAGTGATCAGCGGTGGAGTCAAGTTCCTTCTCAAAGCTAGCACGTACAAAGCTTGCACTTTCGGTGTACCGTTGTACCATGTAGCGCTGTATCTGCGAACGAGCAACCTCTGAACGTTTTGAAGTGGAACAAAATGAAATTAAGGACACACGGGTTATTTACATATTATCGGAAGTCGTGTCATGCGAGACTATAACGAAGTGTCCCTGGATAGAAAGGAAAAGCAAATGAACCAGTTGCACCACCAAGAAACCACCATACTTGTAGAACTCCACGCAAGGGTTCATCGTGGATACCTAATTTCAAACGCTCTATCGTATACAGCGATAAACTCGGATCGATTCTTTTCGAAAGATCGTAAATTCAGGATTAACTAACCCTGACTAACGTGATACTGAATGACATCATAACCATTCCCACTGCTATGAAGAGGTACGTGCCATGAACTTGTTCAATTTCTGTAATATAACTGTTTTGGACATGCGTTGAGTAATAATGATAAGATAGTGCGTATATTTGTCGAAATCAGATTCGAACGATATCTGTACGATCGTACTAACTTTATGGCGTGCTGGTGTGCCTTAACCGAGTGGCATACCCTTGCATACGCTTCTTCCATCACGAAGGCATGTTTCGCGTTACTCTTCTCTGCTGCAATTGCCCACTTGAAGCGATGTCTGTGAAAAAAGTTTCATTTCCTATTCACGGTATGAATCCTTTGCGGTCGCATTCAGTTCAGACATGGGTGACGAACTGGTCGGATTTCATTTTCATCGATCGTCCATTCGTAAATACAAAATTTACTATTTCTTTTTCATCGTTTCCTACATTTATTGCTATAATATGTGGTTTCATTTGGTATAAAAACTATATTTTACATTTCTACGTCGTGTGATCAATCGATCATCGTAATATCAATTAATCATAAATGATCGTGTGCTGAATCAGAATGGTTTCCTTTCAGCCAACGTACAATCGCAAACGGTTAAAAATTCCCGCCCGATACTCGAGTAACATCTGAAAATTGCTTACCCAGAGAGGTTCAATAATCCACACGCGTGTTGCACGATATTCATGTAGATCGTGTCACAGGAGATGTAGACGAAAAACACGACAGTTATCACGGAAAGCATGTGACCCATCAGATAGTAGTAATGCTCCTCTTCGTCGACGCCGTAGTTGGCAGGATAAATGAAGCCCACTCCGCGCGATTCGTTTTTCGGCGAAATAAGGTCGAGAACACGAGGGGTAATCGCCACTGCGGTGAAGAGAACGTAGCAGAAGATTCCATTTGCTGCGACATATAGAGAAGAAAATGTAATTATAATAAGAATTGACAAAGTAATAATTGGATAGTTTGCAGAAGAATCGTTTATGAAGCGATTACGCTGCAATTGAAATATTTTTTGCTCAATTTAGACGCAATGTTATCCGGAATGAATCATTCTCAACGGAAATTGTGCCCTACCTACGTACAAACGACTGAAAAACAGGCCTCTTTTCGCGTACTTGTCCATAATGTCCATTTCGGGTTTTGGCCGCTTTACTAACCAATCTGCGAATACGCACCCCAAAAGCTTCCTTAGCTGTAATTTCGAATTAATGAATTATTTCACTGTATGTGACGGAGAAAATGGCATGTAGATTGCTCACCTGTTGCTCGTGTATGATATAATTCAACTCCTTCAAAAATATTCCTAAACCCATTGTGAAAAATGGGCATTGTTCTATCACAGTATCCGTGCTCAGGTTCACTTTCACGTACGCAACCTACGGTCGAACAAATACAATGTACAATACCTATCGATTAACCTGCGATATTTCCTTCTTGTCCTTCTCAATTTTTTTCCTATAATTTCCTGTATGAATTAATCTTGCGGATCAAACAGGTAATAAGAAAATATACACAGTGAAACCCCTGTATCCCAAGAGATTAACTCCAAGTATCTTCTACGGATATCTGAAACGGCGAATAGTAACGAACGCTATACATCCGTACATACTTATGGAAAAATTATTTTATTTACCAGGGTTTTCACTGTAGATTCGTAAACGTAGGTGTATAATTGTAATATAATTAAACTTGTTCCTTGCCTGGGTCGTCATGGCTGTAACAGTGATCACTAGTATCACGAATCGTGAAACCCATTTCATTTTCTCGTCCCCGTACGGCCATATACCGGACATCGTTCCGCAAAATTTGTTCACGTTCAAGTAATTCCTCTCCACGTCGCTCGCTTGTATAACTGAGACGGCGATGGATGTTTCGTACTCGACGGTGAAACTCGTTCTCGTTGCGCGGTAAGAAAGGAAATAATTCGGTTCATAGTTATATAGGATATTGTTTTGTCGCCACTTTGCTGCTATTAAACTACCTGCTCGAATAATTTACTAAGTGCATATTGGTGGGCTTAAGAGGGGTGAAGCTTTCTAAGAATGCTCACCTCACCGTTGATGACTTTAGTCATGCATTTACTTCACGAATGATGTATGTAGACGTTTCATTAATTTCATCGTACTTAGGTGAATAGATTCGTCTTAATGGTAACAGCTATAAATTAAATGTACGCCATTGGTCAAGCGCATTAACCGTAATTAGCACTCCGTCTAAGTGGTTGCTAATAGGTTTGCATACTTCAGTTGAAATACAGCATTGCTAACAGAACGAAGCACACACCTTCACATGCTCTGCTTTTTTTTCGTTCGAATTTGTCGCTAATTTTTGCATCACTGTCACGGAGGACAGGCAAATTTTTGTCTTCGTCTACGTAACTGCTATGTAGACTCGGTGAAGAATATAGAAAATAATCGGTGAATAGAACGATATATTTTGGTGTGTTTAATGTTCCAGAAATATTGTGAGAAAAATGCAGTTTTTCTCGGAATAGGTGTAAAAATCAGTCCTTTATTTAAATTATAACAGAAGCAATTTATAGAGCTACAGGGTCGATCGATCATCATATGGGATTTTTTGTCACACGATCTGAAGTACCGACGTCGTCCAAAGCTAGCTGTTATCAAGCATATTCTACGCTTAAGAACGGTCGGGTTAAGAACTGCATCACGCAAAACGATCGATATTGGTCGTCTCGGTACACTCTTGGATCCCAAAACGCCTGAATCTATTCTGATTCATCCTAAGATTCGAAATTTTGTCTCCTTCGTTGTTTAACCCTTTCGTTACGGCAGTCCGCTCCGCCGGAGAACCGCCACTAAACGCGACACTGCGCCAAAAGTGTGCACATTGCGCGTCGACACTCCTCGGTATTCTAGCTTACGTCTTCAACCTGAACAACGCCGCCTTGACATTCTTTTGTATGTACACTTTTCTAAGTGTTAAATAACAACTGTTTTGTCGCATTATATGACAAAACATTCATACAAAATTATATTAATTATACAAGAAACATGAAAATAAGTATATTTTATATATTCTCAGATATTTGCATATTTGCAGACATCACAAATACACGTATATTATTGAGGTGGGTGAGGAGCCTCGTTACCCTGTTTTCATCTCAATTTATTAAAGTACAAATTTATGGTCGTA